ATTTCAAAGCTATATATTATGTATATATGTACAGAAACACCCAGGACAGCAAAGAAAATTTTGAAGATACCTAACACAAATTAAATCAGATATAATTTTTATGGAGTACTGTAATGAAACACCAGTTATTTAATTTTATGAAAGCAACAAATTATTTTGAACAATAGATAAAGCACAAAATTCATATTTGAAAAACAATGTTGCTGGGATAACAGAATAACATACCATTTGTGTCTATAAACCATGAATGTATGACAGATGACCATAAGCAAAGTTCAAAACATGGATTTCAAGAACAAAACTATTTTATATACGCATTAAACCCCAATATACATATATATATATATATATAATTTAAGAACAATAAGGGACCTGTTGTTCCATCTAGACCATCCCATCTGCTATACTAAACTATAAATAAAAATATAACATCCAAAGCCACTCCTTATCATTCATATATGTATCAAACGTCCCCATAAACTCTCTTAAGTTAACTGCACCTACCACATCTGAAGGCAACCCATTCCACAGGCCAACTGCTCTGTTAGAAAAGATAAAGCTGTCTTTGCTGAAAATGGCTCCTTCTTTGCCAAAATTTATATTTTTGCCCTTTAGCCTTACCATTCTTACCATTGAGTAGGAAAAATATGATGCAACAACATTATCAATTTAACAATCTTAAACACCTTGGTCAGAGCCCCAGCTGCATCATTTTTCAAGAGAAAATAATTCTGAACAGTTCAATGTCTCTTCTAAGGTAAAGATCCCTAGACTGAATTAACACAGTACCCCCAATGTTTCCTAATCTCTTAAACTTGTATTAATATTTCTGTGGATACAACTTAAATTCTATTTGCCCAGCCACCTGCAACAGCACAGTGCTTGGATGGCTTAAGAAACTGATCAACCAGAACATCAAGATCCTTTCTTCCATAATGATGTTAAGGTTATTCACATCAAAATTGTATTATCTCACTTGCATTACTTTGCACTTTTTATAATTTAAAGTCATCTGCCTTTTATTTACCCAACTCACCAAATAATTCAGATCTTTTTGTAAAGCAGCAGCATCCTCTTCACAGTCAACAAAACCCAAAACTATAATATCATAAGCAAATTTAAATAAGTTATTGACCATTCCATCAAATAAGCCACTGATATAAATAAAAAGAGCAAAGGTCTTAATTCTGAGCCCTGAGGTGATCCACTTGTGACATAATCCAGTTTGACTGAACTCAATTTATAAAAACCCTTCCAGCCAGTTTTCTGACCAGTGAGCTTATTTATTCCCCACACCTACAGAGATAATTTTTTAAATAGCCTTTTTTGTGTTACCTTGTGAAAATCCTTTATGGCAATAATTGTACTGTACAGTACTGTTTAATCATTAACTCTTCTGACACGGGGTCAGTCAATTTGACCGAGTCACGTGACCTTCTGTACTTGTTTAAAGTTGACATAAATTTAATACTTATAACTCTCTATATATGGGGTATATCTTCACGCCCATTTAACACGTTGTAGGATTGTTTTATTTCAGCAGTCTACATAATGGGAAACCATATTTCTACACATTTGAAAACAAACAAAAGACTAATTAGGACATTATTAGTAATAGTAGAGGAACGAATACTATATCTTATATGTCTTCCAACTGAAGTTATTATATGGAAATATGCATTGAGTCAACAGCGGTTTTCGTAATACTGATATACTTAAAGTGGTGGGCAGAGCACAGATTGCCAGTTGTGTAGCTTTGTGCTTAAACTACAAAGAAACAAACAAATATATACTTAAATATGCATTCAACGTCATATGCCAAAATTTTTATTCACACACACACACATATATATATTTCATTTATAGAACTCGGAATAAGTATCAATGGCTCTGCATAGTTAAGGTTTTTCCAGAATGATTTATTTTAATACACTCATAAACGTAGAATGTTAAAATAGTTTCTGGCTCAGTTAGTTGCCTTGATTACACGTTGTTTAAAAGATTGAGTTAACAACCAATGTTCATCTTTGGAGATACGATTATAAATGGGTCTTATTGACCACCTATGTATGCTGCGATAGTGTATTTGTACCCAAAAAGAAGTATTATTTATTTGTTTCTTTTAAATGGTCTTGCTATAATCTTACCTAAACGACGAAAGATTTAGAATATCGGGAGATACAGCATTAAATAAATAATTAACTAAATGACCTTGAATCATTCTTGTGTGTATTTTCACTAATCAAGTCATTATCAGGTACCCTTTGAATGGTTGATTAAAACATGGAGCTCAACAGACTGGTCTGTTGAAAATATCTGCGCGGCTATTAAAACACATTCTAATCAGTTTAACAACTTAGCCAGCAGAGATGTCCTCAACTCTTACCTATCAGTAAGGCGTAAGATAAAAAGGCAAGCATTGTGCCCAAAACAATGAAAAGAGAAAACAGTGCAAATGTTATCACTGTTTTATTCAGTATCTACTTTTGTAAGAGTTATAGAACATGTTCAATTTCCTAAGGCTGCCAAATTGATTAACTTATATCTTACAACCCTTAGCTGCGTTTGTAACAAAATGTACAAGTTACAGCCCTTAACTGGGTTTTTAACAATATTTTTTACTATTAATAACAAATATGACAATCAGAAATGACAGGAAATCAAAAATAATAGTTTTTCTTCGAGATAGTAGTTTCAAGCTTTACAAAATGCCAAAGTTCTTATTTAAGTTTTGAGAATAACAAAAGGAGCAACTTTACTTGTCTTACGATAACAGATAAATATTGCTCTTAAAACAACATTTAAAAGCGATATGTTGTTTCTAGAACCTCAGTACAACCAGAATTTGTAATTATACTGCTGACCTGACTAATTAAACTCAAACGTCTATCCTAGCACTTAGATCACTACTACGTCTGTCGTATCCCAGCTGGCCTTATGAACCTTGGTATTGGACGAAAGACCTAGCGGTTTATATATATATTATAACGTATTTTACTTTGCATTCATTCATTGATTCGTAGAACTAATAATTAGACAATGATTAAACCAAAGATTGGTTTTATGGCAATGGTTACAACACTAACAGTTTTATAGTTTCGTAACGGTGTTTCTCCTAAGAAAGTGCAATTATTTACTGAGTATCATTTCGTACAATTTCTTTACGTACCAATACAAAATCTACCCTGCTTGTCACACTCTTTAGCAATGCTTCTAGTTGTAACTGTTGATACACTACCTGATTAACAAATCAACTACTTTGTATGGAAATCATAACTGAGAAGCATTGTAACCAGTAAGGTAAATTTCAACAAGTTACCTTCAGCTTTCTGACTTTTTTTTTAGAACAATAAATAAAATTGATACTATTTCTTGTTATTAGATCTTTAGTGCACGTTGCATTGTAGGGTTATAGTTTTAAAGCAATTAAGTAATTTTTATCACTACTATATCAACTATCGAGAGCGTACATACAAAGATAGCTTAACGTTTTGTTCATAGTTTAAGTACTTAGACCATATACCTATACGATAGGAACATCGTACACTTCGCAATTATGATATGATTAAACGCGAAATTATTTGACTATGAGCACAGCGATCTAAACGAAGATTTGTACTTACATCCAGTTTGCCAAAGCAGGGTTGACCATGACCATCAGTACCACCTGGTTGAGCAGTGCGACCCACAACCCTAGGCGGCCCATGTCAGGCTGTCAACAGATGAAAGCACGATCACTTGTCCGTAAATGTTGTTCCGAAGTGGGCTAATACCGAAACCCTAGGGAGACCAGCAGTCAGAAGCCGTTTGTGTCGGCCCGCTAAATACACGGTTTGCAATCTTGCTTACACTTCGTCCTCAGCCCATAGCATACACGGCGTGGTTTTCTAACAGTCCATAACAGCGGGGATTTCTGAGTCCAGGGTCTGAAGAACGTCAGATAACCGGAATCTGAGGCTGATTACCTTGTTTTAATCACCGTTAGCTACTGAAATCTATTCCTACTGTGAGACAGCAAGACAAACGCGTGCAGCAGTGGCAGTTGTCTACTACGAATAACACAAAACCTTCAGCGTGAGCTGGAGAGTAGCCGTGGATCAACAGTAGTGCAGCTTGCAAGTTACATGTGTCGAGATAACGAACTCATGCTATATACCCGTTCTCTGATTGGCTGGTAAACTGTTTGCTGTCGACAGGTGATGACCATTGAAACTTCGGGGATTGGTTGATATCTGAATGCATATAATACAACAAGCTCAAAATATTTTAGGTTAAATGGAGGAAATTGCTACACTTAAAATATAAGATTATCTTTTTCGGCGTATTCATTGTACAATAATGTCGCTGGTTTGCTGCGTCGGTCTAGCTGGACTTCATAACTGCTCATGATAAGATTTCTTAAAAATCCTTATTCTTAGGAGAGCAAAGTCGTTTACTATCGTTCAGCTGTAAGATTTGTAAGTTTACTGTTCTTAAATCATAAAACTGATCTAGAAACAAAGCGATCAAAATAGATGCTCATTATCTGCTGGCCCCAAGAAACAAAATTTCCTGATATTCTGTTTAAAGTAATCAACGCAAAAATACAGCTGTTTAATAGTTCAAAATCCAGTGAGTTTGCTTGCTTGTAAACATATGAGGTTTTGTACTAATTTCAGTTCAAATCAAGTCCTTCATTTACAAAAAGTAAACAGTTATTGCTGTTTGAGACCATAAACATGCTACGTTTTACTTTTGATTTCGTACCAATTAGTTCTCAGAGAATACCATATGAAAATCCTATAAATTTAATGTATAAGTATATTTTACGACGAATTGAAATATTGTAATATAAGAACGTTATAAAAATATGAATATGCAGATGACCAAAATCATTAACCTTTAGAAAACATTATCTAGTTTCAACGTATGAATTTGGATACTGTTACATTTACGATTTTCTAAAGAACGAAAATGAAAAATAAAAAAAAACAGAGGAAAAGCATTGATGTACACTAATTCTGGCCTGATTAGTATCGATGAGTGTAATGTTACATGTAATGTTTTGTCTTTCTTATCTAAGTCTCATCAATAATAAAAACAAATCCTTTATGTGTTTCTAAAAAGAAAGATAATATTACTGAAGATGCGATGAGAGCAGAAGATTAAGCATGAAACTTGTGAGAATTCTACCACCAGTTGATGAATCTCAGTTTCCATGACAACGTTAGAATGATGTCAGCACGTATAGCCGGTGTTGCAGTCATGCAAAATATGAATTACGAACTCCTTCGAGAATCACCGCCATTTGAACATCGTTAACAAAAGAAAAAGAAAAAAACAAACTTCGCGTGCTGCTGTCGTGTGAAGCTGTTATCCTAGGAATAATACAAAACTATCACGAAGTGGTTCATCAAACTTAACAAACAAAACACTTGGAAGCCTAAAGACACGATATTCTGCAATCACTACAGTCCAGTGAAAGAAGTGGAGAATCATATCCACGATATGTTCTTAACGAGTTTACACGCAATGTACCAAGCAACAATGTATTCCTCGAGCTCTATTGGTCAAAGATAGAGAGCACATTTTGTTTACAATTCAGAGGACGTGTTATTCTAAAATAGAGTATGAAAGCAAAGTATTTACTTTACTTCTGTGTGCTATTTGATGTTATCATTGAAAGTTTTCAAATTTATCTGTAGACAGCAAAGTGAAACTTTAAAGAAATTTGCATCCACCAGTAGATACAATTTAAATAGTGATATTTTTAAATTCAACTTTTGTTTTGTAACAAAGGCGAACATAGAAAACGTTGACATGTTGAATACATGGCAATAAGAACATCGTGATTAGAAACGGAAAATAATGTCATAAATATATATCATGGTCAGAGTGTAAGAAAGCAATAAATGTATATCATGGTCAGAGTGTAAGAAAGCAATAAATGTATATCATGATCAGAGTCTGAAAAAGCAATAAATGTATATCATGGTCAGAGTGTAAGAAAGCAATAAATGTATATCATGGTCAGAGTGTAAGAAAGCAATAAATGTTATCATGGACAGAGTCTGAGAAAGCAATAAATGAAAAATGTATATCATGATCAGAGTCTGAGAATGCAACAGATATTATCATTGTCGGTGTCTGAACACAAGACAATACACACACACACACACACACACATATATATATATAGCAAGCAAAATTATCAGGAAGGCAATAGATGATTATCACTGAAATCGGGAATACGATTTCTTATGTAGGTTTTAGTCGGAATTTAAAGACAAATCAGTGCATAAATGATCACAGGAAGATCACGTGTATGAAACTATACATTTTGGTCAAAGGATAAACACAAAATATTACATGGTTTTTATGACTAGGAATATAATGCTTAAGATAATCGGAGTTTGCGGCAAGTTTTTGTTATGAGCAGGAAGATAAATCCAGTCATGGTCAAAGTTAGGAAACAAGGCACAAATGTATATCGTTGCAAAGGTTGAAAACAAGCCATTTAATATACATTGTGTTCAGAGACTAAGAAATAAGATGCGTATTACGTTTAAAGGAATAGAGCAATACGCAAAACATATATAGTATGATTAGGGATTGACAACCAGACACTAAATGTATTTTATGTTTGTTTTGAATTTCGCGCAAAGCTAAACGAGGGATATCTGCTCTAGTTGTCCCTAATTTAGCAGTGTAAGACTAGTGGGAAGGTGGCTAGTAATCACCATTCCCCGCCAACTCTTCTGCTGTTTTCTTACCAACGAATAGTGGGATTGACCGTCACATTATCACGCCCCCACGGCTGAAAGGGCGAGCATGTTTGGTGTGATGGGGATTCGAAGCCGCGACCCGCAGATTGCGAGTCGAGCGCCCTAACCACCTGGTTGTGCTGGCCCGTACACTAAATGTATATGTTTAACCAGGATTAAAAGGTAATAAAGGGTATCATGGCTGAGGCATAGCACAAAGAACTTAATATATAACATGAGATTGAGTAAATTCAATACACATTATGATAAGAGTCCAGGACAATATAGTGAATATATATTATAGTTAGAGAAATAGGACTATATATATATATATATATTGAGGTTTACAACAAAACAATAAATATTTATCATGATCCAAACTTAGGCATAAAGTAATAAGGTCAATGGTCAGTTAAGTGCATTTAAAGTGTAATGTAAACAATTTAAAAAGAAGAATAATTTTTGTGAGAAAAGAGCAAACAAAATGCATAAGTTATGAGCACAAGGTGATTATTTCAACTGTGTTCAAGGTGTGATTATGTGATATTACTACTCTCAGTTCCATCCTTCCTGTAAAGCTACTGAAATTCTTGCACATTTCTAGGTCTACTCTTAACCTCCAGTAACCTTTCTCCTAGGAGCAGCACATATTTTCAGTTTTTCCATTTGAGGCTTTTTTATTTTCTCATTTCTTTATTAGGCCTTGGAAACCAGCAGAGGTGGCCCTTGCAGGTCGAGCGTCGACAATCAATGAGAAAGCGAATTTGGTATCTTCAATATCTGAACGTAAACATATGCGAAACACCCACATCAGAAACCCATAGAATTCAATTCAAGTCGAGCTACCTTCAACTTAGAATTGGTAACCAGAACGAGTACATTCTAATTAGTCAACAATATTATCTGCCTACACTGACATATTTAACCGAATATTGCGAGAATGTCACAAGTACGACTTTCCTACACTTGAAAGAGGCTGTTCAAAGATATTCCTGACTCGAATCTTCAACCTTCCAATCCACTCCCGGCACTATAAACCACCAACTCATGTCTGACCCTATGAGAAATCATAAGAGTAAGTGATACTTCCATTTTAAAAGTGATTTGATTAGCTAGAGAGTTTTGTTTATTTGTGTTCAGTTTTATGAGTAACTGTGATTTAGTTGACTCTTAGTCAGTCTATTGCATTCTTGCAGATTAGTCTAATGTATTCATTAAAATATATTACGATAATGTAATGTAGAGTTCTTGGTTCATGCTTGGATTACTAGAACTCATATCCTTGCCATTTACAAGGCACTGTCAGCGAAACCTTCTCCAACATTGGTAAACACTTATTGTTTTCTGCCGAATGGAGAACGACTGGAAGTGCAATATGAATATCGTCTGAATCTAACCATCAACACTATCGAAAGGCAAATAGACGTAGTGATCATGCATTTCAGTTAAAAGTATAGATATGCTAAGCAGGGTGTACTGCATTAGCTGACTACATTATGGCTTCTCTGAGAGGTATGCTGACATTTTGAACAAGAAATATCTAATGCAATTCAGACATTATTACAAAATAAAGTAGTGGACTGCAGGGGTATATTTGAAAGGTGATGTAATCATCCTATAAAATAGCAAAACAGTGCTTAGGAAAATTGCAGACATTTTCTCGTGCACCATCTTCTACTGTTGTGATTATAACGTCAACACCGTAGACCTACTGTTTCGTGACTAAATGTAATTTCCGCTGACATGAGCTTTCAAAACACTAGCAGATAACACAGCACCCCTGATTTTCTGAAACTATATAGAAAGCTTGCACATTTGCCTCAAGGAATAGAAGTCGGCATGGTGCAGTGAGAAGAAGTTTATGTTTCTCCAATTGCACCAAATCAGTACGATGTTACCAAACTCCCTGCACATTTGATGAAAAATTGATATAGTTGAAGAAGCTGTTGGCAGACTTCTCTGACATTTTCGTTTAATCAAATAGATGTTTAAGTCACACTTCAACCGACAATGAAATGGATACAGGAAACATCATTCCTATCAAACAGCCTTGAAAAAGGGATCGGGGTCCACAAAGGATCTGGCCAATCCAGAAATAAACTAAATTCTACATAAAAATGTCATAGAGATGTTATAAGTGTGTGGTCTTAACCAGTAGTCTTGATCAATAAAAGGAAGATTCACTAAGTTTCTGTATGGACTTTCACCAAGTAAACATAGCAACATGAGTTAATGCAAGCTTAAGTTCTATACAGACAAACATCTACA